CTTTGAATCAAATAAGAAACTGAAAAATACACTTTCTTGAATAGCAATCCTAAAGTGTTCTGAATTAGAGTGAGAATTCAGCTTCACCTTATTAAGGAGTGATCTTATCACAGAGGAAGTCCTCCTTCTTCTTAGCTGGCTCCATCTTATCACCTTTCCTTCTCTCCTCACTCTCAACTATCTCTCTCTAAACTCTCCAAAACGATGTAAAACTATCCGAACCATCCAAACTCTAACTGACCAACTCTCCACCAACAACCCACATTCTGAATGGAGCCTGAGGGGTTTATACATGGAAGTAAATCTGAAGCCCTTCCCGAAGCGTCACGTGGTCCCGCCGGGCAGCGAGGCCTCGGACGCCATCGTTTATGGCTCCTCCCCTAAATGAAGCGAGCCTCGGTACGCGCTGCGAGGACACGCCCCCTCAGTTACTCGACACGCGCGAGGCGTCGGCACATCTGGTAACGTCACTAATTTTGACTATTAAAGTCTTTTTGTTTTCAAGCTCTGCGTCTGGGTGCTGCCTCTGCCTTCCCCCATCACCAACTGAGTAATATATGAACATATAGAAACATATAGATTATTAGTGTTAAACATAAATACAACAAACACGTAAACAGAATTACTTGTCAGTTGTAAAAAGGTCACAGCAGCTATATAATAAATAGCTGCTGTGACCTTTGACAGATAATATGAGGACTTTGGAAATGTGAAAAAAGACGTTGATGCCCCAACAAAATGGTCCATGTTGAATTTTGTGGCTCCTCCATCTATGTTTTTTCAAATAAAGAAACAAAAACATAATTCAAGTAAGCAGATGGCTCCATCAGCTAAAAACAAATAAAACGTACAACCATATTTTTTAGAGCAATGCAAATAAAGTTATACCTCTCCATGAAATAACTCACTCTGAATGGTCATTTGCATATTCCAGAAGGCCTCACTGACTCTCCACGTTCCACCTTCCGTGTTCTAACTTCCATGTTCATGTTCCGTTCTCCACAGCTTAAGAACACTCGCGGGTCAGGTAGTTAGCAGCCCTGGAACTGCACACAGGTTTTTGCAGTGGCCCGAACATTGAGAAAAGGCCACAATGACTCTGTGGCCCTAAAAGGACTCGAGGTAAGTGGGGAATCCAGACAGACGTCTGCATTAACTGGTGTTGGTGGTTTACTGGACTTGTCAGGTGGAGAAGTGGGTACCTGGAGATAAACCTCTGATTCACGCTGTTGGGACCTTTTTCTTACGGTGTCTTTTGTGTCTGAGCCGTGAAAGGATGAAATAAGACCATTTAACGCAGCCGGTGGCTTTAGTTCACTACAAATGTTCCCTTCTGTTTTTCCTCATGTGTAGATGACGATGAAAGCTCTTGGGACAAAACGTCCTCATCCAAAGGGCGCATCCCAAAGAAGAGGGTCCGACGCCGTCAGAGACTTGACACCGGCGTCAGAGCGCCATTGCTCGCCCGATACGAAAGGCCCGAAAGCTCCGGGCAGCGTGTCAGCGTGACTCGAGCAATGAGGAAAGACCAAGAGGAAAGGAAGCACAATCAGAGGAGGCGAGAAGAGGATTAGCGTTTTGTTTACGCTAATTGTAGCCTCGGCTATTTTGGTGTTCTCCTAGTCCGGTAGTAGTTAAGCGCTATTTGGTGACTCTCTGGTGGGTATATCTGGTGGGTATATATATATATATATATATATATATATATATATTTTGTATTGATATTAGTATGTATATAATGCACAAAGGTGCAGAAAGACTTAGATAAGTGTGTGTTCCACTTCTTGTTAATGTACAGAGAATTGAAATACACAAACAAGGACACAAGTCAAACCTGAAAACAATAGTTTTATTCATATAGGAATCCATGTGTTTATTAGATGATTTATTGGTTCAACTTTTCATAATCAGAGATTGGGCCAAAATATACTGGTGGGCTGTTCGATACATTTGCACTACAAGTTTTCAACAGCAGACGTCATCATAGAGTTTGAGATGCATTGAATGAATGAACCTTTTTACGATACGATTGGCTGGAAAGCTTCACTGCTTCATAAAGCTTCATAGAGCTTCACTGCTTCATAAAGCTTCATAAAGCTTCACTGCTTCATAAAGCTTCACCGCTTCATAAAGCTTCATCTGGCCGTCACTAGTAAACAGCAGAATCAGAGGAACTGAAGTCACACAGAAAGAACTACAGAACAGGAGTTTGCTGGACAACACGAGCAGAGCTACTGAGCCACGTTACCACGTAGGAGTATTAACAAGGTGCCACTGGAGAGGTGAACAGCCCGGCTCTAAATACTGCAGGGGTGGATCATGGAATGTGGATCAGCTGTGTAGGAATGGAGCAGGATGAACGGCCACGCCTCCTCACCTGCTTCCTCTAGACACGCCCCTTTTCTCTTCTGGTTGATGCTTCAGCAAAACCAGAGCTACAAGACAAAGAGTTTGGCGGCAAATCCGGTTGATGCGCGTGAATCAAACATCGTGGACGTGAACTTCCTCGTTCGCGAGGTTGATCTCTGCTCGCGCTCGCTGTTGTTGTTATTGACAGCAAGGGGGCGGAGCCAGTCACCGGCATCTCCACGTCTGATTGGTTCCACTTTTCGTCCTTGGATTGGCTGGATTTCGTCCCTGTTGACCGTTGTGAATCCCCAGAACTGATGGAGCAGGATGAACGGATCGGATTAACGGTACCTGAGGTGTGCAAGTGGTACATGAAGACAGACAATGTCCCTCTCTGTCTTCTCCACAAATGGCTGTGGAAACCCCTCACGTGAGATCTATGTCACTTCTGTCTTCTCTGTGGTGCTGTGGACGGGTGTTCAGGGTAAACGCCGCCCTTTTCCTCTTTGCTCTTCGCCCCTCGAGGCCGCTGTGATGGTGCAGCAGCGCTCTCACTCCGCCTCCCTTGTTTTGCTCTGACAGCTTAGCAGCAGATATGTCTCTTTGTCCCCTGGGACACGGGACAGTCTGCTCCTCCCACACAACCTCCTTGTGCACTTGCTCACAGTGTTTTATTACAGTGTCAAACGTGTGCACGGTGTCCAATGTTGAGATATTCTGACATCCTTACAAACAGACACACAACTGTGTCTCTGTGGCGTTTTAAGGACACTAGACAAAGGACTAGACCTTGCTGAAGGTGCTTTGAGTGGACATGAAGACAGAATACTTTAAAGTAGGAAGCAGACAAAGTTATTATATATATTCCTGATTCCTCAGGCAGCCTCGGCTCCGTAGGGGATTTAAGTTGTGATCAAACTGTCATGAAGTTCATGAAAATGTGAACCAACAATTGCTTTGCCAGCAAAAGAAAGAAAGGGAATAAATACAGTGCGTTTACAGGCACAGTTCTTCATGGAAAGGGAACTCACAGCTGTAGAAGTGAAGTAATCCTCTATTTGTGTTTCACTGTCGGGGGTTTGACTCCCACACGCCGATGAAAGACTCTTGGGAAAAGGGATTGTCTTTGAATCCTCTAGAAACGGAAGCGGCTCCTTAATGTGTTGATTACGGTGACATTGAAAGTGAAACCATGCGGTTGTGAAATGCAGCATCCAGTTGATGACGTGTCGTTGGTGACGCATCTTCTCCACACCGTTCACAGCTCTCTTGTTGATCAGGAACTGAGTCACATGTCAAAGAGTGAGACAGCAGCTCATACAAACACTCCACACGCCGATCCGTCAACAGCAGAAGCACTTCTGCTAAATGCAAATGGTTCGGTAAAGAAACGATGCTCACTTCTCATGTTGTCCTCAACAACGTGACCAGAGAGAAGCCGCATGTCAATGACCAGCTCAACCGCAGGAGGAGGCTGCAAGATGGAGGAAGAAGTCTGGATTGGGAGTGAGGAGGGACAAGAGGACGTGGTGTTTAATAAGTGTGATTGATGCTCTTTGATTGACTTGTTTGAATAAAGACGTGTTGATCTCTACATGGACGCATTGAGTCGGTGACAACATGTTTCCAGTGTGAAGTCTGTCAGCAGATCAGGTGACAGCGCTGTCACCTGAAGGGTCAACATGGACGCCTCGCCGTGTCTATCACTGCTCAGATGGACTTTGTCCTCCAGGGATTATTTGGGGGCCCGTTGGGCCTCCTCTCCCACTGGGGGTCCTCAGAGACCCCTAACAGATGCTTCCAGTGTTCACTGGTAACATCTGGTGTGTTTGAGGTCACAGGGTTTAAATTGAACATGACGTCTTGTCTGTATCCACAGTGTGCAGGTTTGTTGTCTCATTGTGCATTAAAACTAACACGTTTTAATTAAAGGACATGAGGACGGGCAGCAGGACGTCCTGAAGGACTCTGAACTGTAACACAAATAAATAGCATGAATAAATATAACATTTTCCAAAGAAGAATGATTGAATTGTGCTCTGTAGGATCTTTCATGTGTGTCAGCTGCTTGCTCATATGTTTGAAACGGTTTCTATTTATTCCAACGTTTGACAATGTGAGAGTTCCCCTACAGCCTCATTGATCAATACAATATGAATCACTACCCAACTCATTAATCACTGTTATTATACAACAGCCCCGAATTAAAGGTTTACCTCTGTAACTCTTTATGTCTTTCTTCCATCCAACATCCAGTATTATAGTCCAGTAAAGTTCAGCAGCTGCTTTTCTTCTCTAACAACTCTGATCTGCTCCATTGAGACACTTTCATGTCTGATATTTATATTTACTGTGAATTAGTTTCCTCTGCTGCTCCGTCACACACAGCGTTTCTATTTGAAATGAGAAGCAAACAAAAGCGTGATAGTTAAACACCCGACAGTCAAGAAGCGTATTCAAATGTTTCAGAGCAGCTGACGTCATCGAGGCAGCTGCTGTCCCATGAAATGAGCGTCCTCTGTTGTCCCTGTGAGTCAGGACCCCCGAGTCTGTTCTCCCCAGAACGCAAGTCCGTCCTCTGCGTCCTATCGTTGAGAAAGGGCCCCACGTTGGGAGGTTAATACGAGCAGCGTGGAGATCAGGACCTTCAGCTGCTTCCACGTGTCGTCCAGTCAACAGGGGACACGAGGACAGAGGTCCCTCATGATGCAGCTGTGGACAGTCTTCTCGTATGTTTCTGTTGCTGCTTATTACCCGTCCATGACCAGCCGTTCTCCTGAAGCTTCCCCTGGACCGAGGCGCTAATGGAACCACTGAGCTCCACCACCGGGGCTCCCTGAAGACCTTTACTGGTGCTCTGAGTTCTCTCCGTTCTTCCTGCTGCAGGAACGTCTCCGCGCCCCTCAGCTGCTGTTCATACAGCTGTCAATCATGTTGAATGACACGTGAATGAAGGCGGCACGATGCAGCGCGCTGAGGCCCATGCAGAGAAGCTCAAGTAGCGGTGAGCCTTGTAGTGACGTCATTGTCTTAACTCAGGTAGTGACGTGATGTCACCTGTCAATCACAGGTCAGTGGAGCCACGATAATGAAGTAACTGTTGTTCTTTGGTGACTAAAGAGCCTCTTCTTGTTCACAACAACGGGTTCAGTCATCGAGCAGCAGCACATGTGGGATTAGTTCACTTCCTGCTTGTAGTTCACTGAGAACGTCAGCGCCTCTGGACACGATGGACTAACATCTGGAGGGACAACGTCCCCATGCTGGACATCAACACGAGTTCCCTCGTTGTCCTCTTACAGGACGTTGTCCCACACACGTCTCTGGTTTAGTTCAGTGTGTTGTGTTCTAGTGTCTTTTAAACTCTTAAAACGCACTTATGTGACGTCACAGAACTAACCGGTGACTCTGTGGGCCACAGCGCCCCCACGTGGGCAAACCAAGCAGCTGCTTATAAGCGCTCAGCCTGACGGTGACGTGTGCTGCAGAACTCTGTTCAGAAAGGGTTGAATTAAACAAACGCTGCTGCCTAACCGGCCCAAACATCACCACTAACATCAAGTAGAAGAGCCTTTGTGAACCACGCGGAGCTCATCTGTTATTCGGCAACACGAAATCACCTGAAGAACCAACGTGTCTGATAACAATCACACTCTGAGCCCTTTGGACATGTTGTCTCATCAGGAGACCGTAGCGGTTTATCGGCTCTCACGTTGAACTAACTTACATCCGGAAGACGTTTACAGCAACACGAGCCTTCGGAGTCTTTTCGCTTCCGTTTCTGTGTGTTTCTCCTCCATGTTCCGGTGAACGGAGCTGCTAAAACGAGATGTTTCTACAAGGAGGTCTGGTGGAGAGGACAGAGACTCTCGTTATGAAGGGATGAGGACAGACACGTTTATTATTCAGAGGACAAACTTAATTGTAATATTACTATAATATCATGATTAATGACATGTTTATGGATGCTGGAAGAGATGTTGGATCCCTGCTGTACGCGGAGAGAGGAGGTCATCATATCACGACTCAGTCACACAGGTCTGAACTCAACTCTGTTCGTAATGGCAACGAAACTGAAGATGTGGAGCACGTCGTTACGAAGGGTCAAAATACAATAACAAAAGAAACCGATTGGAGGCTCACATTGTCCACCGGGGACGGAAGTGGAGTGTGGAGGGAGTCGTGTCAGTGGAGCAGGGTGGGCCCGACTGCTTTAGACCCCTGATGCGTCTCATAGAAGAGACGGGACCAGGTCGTAGGATCCAGGTAACAGCGGCAGGCTGAGCAATAAACCCTGAACCTGCACACTCCGGTACAGCAGGTGGCGCGATGCACCTGGTCACGTGACGCTGGTTGCGACCCGCCAGAACAAACCGGAAGAAGAAGAAGAAGAAGAAGACGTGAGGGAGACGCGTAGAAAGTCACCAAGCTTCACTTTAACGTCTTAAAGTGTTCACATCGTGTGAGTATGTCCTGTGACACACAGCGTGTTTACTAGTGATGGCAAAGTGAAGCTTTTATGAAGCAGTGAAGCTTTATGAAGCAGTGAAGCTTTATGAAGCTTTATGAAGCAGTGAAGTTTTCCAGCCAATCGTATCGTAAAAAGGTTCATTCATTCAATGCATCTCAAACTCTATGATGACGTCTGCTGTTGAAAACTTGTAGTGCAAATGTATCGAACAGCCCACCAGTATATTTTGGCCCAATCTCTGATTATGAAAAGTTGAACCAATAAATCATCTAATAAACACATGGATTCCTATATGAATAAAACTATTGTTTTCAGGTTTGACTTGTGTCCTTGTTTGTGTATTTCAACTCTCTGTACATTAACAAGAAGTGGAACACACACTTATCTATGTCTTTCTGCACCTTTGTGCATGTATGTTTGTGATCATACTAGCAGAAGAATTAATAGAAGATAGATTATATATAGTATAGAGTTATATGTAGGTAATATAATTTAAAACACCAGCAAGTGCTTGCTACTGCATGTGCAGTTCAGTCATAGAGACTTCTGTGAATTGTTTGAATGTGGGAAGTGATCACAGAGGAAAGGTCAGAGGGGCAGTGATTGTGCTGACAGGTTTCTTATGACAGGATATTGATTATTGATTTTTATTGAGAAACACATTTTCTCCACAGTATTGGGGTTGAGTCGGTTTCTTAGATACTGTTTCCCCAGCTTTTGAAAAAAGGCGCTCACACGGCCCGATGAGGCAGGAATACTCAAAAGATCACGTGCTGAATACAAATAGATGTGGGTACACGTGTTGTGTTTGATTCAATATTTTAGCGGGTCTTCACTCCGATGAATGTTTGATTCAGCCAAATATCGGGTGGTCTCCACAATAAAAATAAACATCCATAATTACACAATACAAATGACAGACTTTGCCTGCCTATTACAAACCTTGTTAGAGGAAATCAAATTAAAGTGCTGCCACATCTCGGAGCGACCTCTCTCTGCCACAGGTTCCATTGGAAATGTGCTCTTTGCTACGACTACTACAAGTACTACTACTAGTACTACTACTACTACTACTACAACATCACTGACTTTGACTGTATCAAACCGACAAGCCCGAACTCTGTTTCCAGCCCATTGAATCAAATCGAAGCGGTCACGTGACGCAGGCGCGAAGCTTCTGCCGTCACTGATCACGTGATCAGCAGCGAACGAACCGAGCGCCGACACGTTTGCTTCGCCTGCACTGCACTGCACCACAAGCTTCACAGCAGGAGGGTCGGAGGTAACAACGCGTGTGTTTACTGTGTGTTTGTGTGTTAACGGGCCGTCAACCTTTGCAAAGTTCCTTTACCGTTTAGACGATAAATACGGAAATAAAACGAAAATACGGAAATAACACCGTTTTATTTGAGTTTTTTTGCTTTAAACCAAAAGAGTAAATGTCCTTTTCTGTCCAAATCCAAACACGAAAAAACGACCGATCTGTTTTTCTGTAAATCCCTTTTTGTTTGTTCCTTTTAAAAGAAACCGAAGCGCAGCCGCTAAACCGGAAGTGCGCACATTTTAACAGTAAAACGCAATAGAACGTTTGTACGATAGAAATCCGTCTGTGACGCAACAATATCTATAATATAGCAGAGTAACATTAGAAGAATGAATATGAAACGTCATTGTGTGTTAACAACAGCAGTTGACTACACGCAGACACATTTACATTCATCCATGTACACAGATACTCATTCATCTGTGCGCTGTTTGATGCAATATAGTTATTAATATAGTAACAACACATGTATTACTGTAGGTAATAACACAGTTTGTGGTGGCAGACTCGTTGCTGTTGGCTCTGATATTTATTTCCAGTATTGTTGTGTTGCTTCAGTGCTCAGAGACACTTTAAGGAGAGTAAACGTGTTCACATCTCCACCACTAGGGGGCAGAATACGACTATTTAAAGCAGTGGTTCTCAGCTGGTCTGGTGGCTCCGGGACCCTCCATCACCCCTCAATGACAACCGACCCAAATCGAGGAACATCCTTCACTTCTCAGATGTATTTAATGAAAATATGGTGCAGTTTGAACCTGAGAGCGTGTGGAGACAGAACACGTATGACCACACAAAAACAAGTTTAATGAGAAAACAGCCAGCTGGTAGCGACGCTAGAGAGGGAACTATTCCCTTTACACAAAATGAGCTAAAACCCCAAAGTGCATCTTAAGGACACGAGGTATTACAACATACAACAATTAAGAATCTTCAGCCATTTCAAACAAAAAAGACTCAAATGACTTTAACAGATAAGACAAACACTGTGTCTTGAGGAGCTTTTGCACAAATGCAAAATAAATTAAATAAAAAGTTTATTCAAAAGGATTCGGATATAGAAAATGAACGTTTCTTGTGATTACCTCATCAGGAGGTAAATCCTGAAAAACTTTGTGCTTTACAGAAAATTAAGCAGCACTCACTTCAACCTGAGGTGAAAAGTGACTTGAGTCTGGAGGAATTTCTACTGGGAGAACTGGGCATGTTTTTTGCTCTTGGCAAGAGTCTCAAAGTCTGGAGTTCTAGTGGACAAGGCCAGTCTGAGGTCAAGCTCGATGTCCAGTCTCTTCCTGTGTTTAGTCTCCAGCTGAACCAGAGCTGAGACGCACTCACAGAGACAGGCAGTGCTGAAGGGTAGCAGCACTTTGACTGCTCGAGTGGCGAGGGAAGGACACTCGCTGATCACGCTGCTGCACCACAACTGGGAGGGGCTCACCTCCGCGTACGGTCACATGACCACTCCATCAGCTGACTCTCTGTTGCTTGGCAACGTGACACTTTCTATGTGGATTCCAAGCGGGTC